AGAACATGATGCCGGGTTGAAGAGTACATGAGGAATGGAGGAAATTGCCAGACATCACGTGACAGGGCAAGGGTCAGAACAAAATATGAATGAAGTCTGGATTCACCTAGGTTGCGTAGATGCTTGAATACGGAACAAGATAAATCTATGATTAAGTTCGTAACATACAGAGACTTTTCAAATTTTAACACAGAAGACGCAATTTCAATGTTACAGACTATCGAATCGGAAGTAGTAATGAACATGACCAACGCTAGTCAAATAAATTCTTTCATTTGCTCTGCTATAAAAAATATTTATGATAAACATGCGCCGCTAGTAACAAAGAGAGTGACAAAGAAAAAAGCACCTTTAAGAAATAATGAAATCATTATGTTAACAAAAATGAAAAATAAATTAAGGAGGAAATTTTCAAACTTGGGACAGAATGTAGACTGGGTAGATTATAAAAAGTTAGAAACAAACTGAATGGAAAGCAAAAATAATTTTTTTCTCAGAAAAACTGGCAGACTGTAAAGATACGAGAACTTTTTGGAAATGCCTTAAAAAGAGTGATATAATAGCAGGAAAGAGCAGAAATAATTTAACATAAGTCCCTAAAAAGCTCAAATGTAAAACAACTTTTTGCAATACCGGCATTTAAACAAACTCAGAATAACATTATCTATGTGTCAGAATAGGCATCCCTACACCATATCTTTTGTGTAAAAACTAGTTTGTTGTTCTTCTTTGTTTGCTTTTGTTGATGTCATTTTCAATAAATAATTTGAATCACTCCAGTCAGTGGTTTAACATGAAAAGGCAGCAAACATGTAATTGTTTGTGAATAAATACTGGTTTACTAAGGTAGCTTTGGTCTTGTGGTTAATGAGGATAAATAAAAGCTTCCCTGTTTGGAATTTTAAAAATTCATTGGAGGTTCGCCTTCAGATGAATTGAAAACGCCTGCAATTTCATCTGCAGTAGGCTTATTATACCTACGACGACCCATATTTATCCTGTCTACAAACCTAAGTTCTAATTCACTGTCACATTGTACAACCATTTCTTCCGAAGCTCTTTTGTAAATTTGTGCAAATGGATTTTCTAATAGAATTTCAGCTAGTTTTGACAATATTTCAGGTTTTAAGTCACTATTTTCTCGACGCCTTTGACGAATTTCTGTTGCTGTTGATGTGTCAATAATGTACAATTGGCCATACACGGGGTCTTCATCATGTTGAGGCAGCAAATCTGAGATTGAACGATAAATCTGTCCTTGAATTTTAAACAGTATGGTCCTTTTCCTGGAATATCTTTCTTACTGGCTGAAAAATAAGCAAAAGCCATCGCACTGTTGCATTGTCGAATGAGTTTATACAGTTGTGGGCTCTCTTCAAACAAACTTTTAAGTTCTACATTAGTTTTTGACTGAGGAAGGTTAATAAGTCCATTATGGCAACATGTCATAAAATGATTATTCGTTAGTTCTTCTCTAAAATGAAGAGCACTGCATTGAATGCACTCTTGGTCCAATAATCCTGCATCATGGATCTTTACATTTCTCTCGTCTACCATGGGTCTCATAAAAAGGGGTTATAACATATCTTGATTAAGTTCGTCATTATCTACTCTTGCTCTCCTACGCGCACTGTCATTCCTATGAACAGTTCTCCGCCTTTGTGGTATTCCCCTGGCGTTCATATTAATTACAGTACTTATAATGAAAAGAATATATATTCAGCAGCCTACATACCAAAACATCTTGAATCCCTGGTGATTTTATAAAAGTATGATCGAATATGATTACTCTGCGTTGTATATTCACTACACTAAAAAAATTTACTTACGAAGGAATACAAATACACCATTTTAGAACCAATAACATTTATAGGTTATTTTAGTTGTATATATTTACACAACCTTAACCTTAAAATGTGTAGAAATATAAAGAAAACAACATAAACTTGAACATATGATTTAAAAATAAAAACAAAACAGAAGTTAGATTTAATTTCGACTCTTTGATTATTTATACAGAATATTTATTCTATGTCGTTTATTCCTTTAACACGACAATAACGTAAAAGCATGAAAAAATGAAACTTGAGTATATGATTTAAATATAAACAAAGAATGCAGACGTTTTTCCGACTAATCTTCAATATTTCAGTTTTATTATAGTATACATTTCATAGTTGACTGGCTAAAAGTAAACCAAATGTGTGTATTGATCACTGTTTTCAAATCTGTGGCACAGCTGTTTTAATTTCAAAAGATGTAAACAAATTAAACCCCATGTTGTTTTAATGGGAAAAGTTTTATTCTGTTGCGAATTTATGGTAAAAAAAATAAGAAAAAAATGAATAGTTTTCCCTCAAAATTCACGTCAAGACCTTTAAAATAAGACCCCTCCCATCCTTCTACGGCCATCCAGTCACTCACAATTTCTTTACAAAAATTTGACTTACAGAATTATATATATAGAAGATACACGTGATATAAATAAATTCCAGTTTAGAAAAATATCAGTATCAGAAGTGAGAGAAGCTATTAATAAAATTACCTCTAGAGCTGTCGGTGTTGATGACATAAGTATTGCAATGATAAAAGCCGTCAGCCCTTATGCCATTGGTGCAATAACTCACCTTATGAATATGTCTCTTGTAAACAGTGAATTTCCACACGCTTGGAAGAAAAGTATGGTACATCCATTGCCCAAAAAACAGATTCCTTCAAACTTTAATGATTTAAGGCCATTATCAGTCTTGCCTGCTATGTCCAAAGTGCTGGAAAAATTAGTAATACGCCAAATAACAGAATTTTTAGATACAGAGAATCTGCTTCCCAAACTGCAATCATGGTTCAGAAAGAACCATAGCACTTGTACTGCATTGATGAATATGTTTGCAGACTTCTTTGGGGCGAGGAGCGAGGGCAGGTGTAGTTCTGTAGTCATGCTTGATTTTTCACAGGCCTTTGATTCCATAAGCCATGGTTTGCTCCTAGCAAAATTGAAACATTTTGGTTTTCATTGCAATGCTATTGCTTGGTTTAGATCTTACCTGGAAAACAGACTGCAAGTGACCAGGGTGGGTACCGATATCTCACCTTCCCTAGAGAAATCAAGGGGAGTGCCTCAGGGGAGCTGTCTGGGGCCCATTTTGTTTACCCTGTACACTGCAGATCTGTCCAGATGTGTGAGTCACTGCAATGTGCATTCATATGCCGACGACTGCCAATTGCATTTCTCCTATGAGATTCAGGCCGCCGATCAAGCTTTTGCAGGAGTGAACTCTGATCTGGTGAGAATAAGTGAGTGGTCACGCAAACATGGTTTAAAATTGAAATCTGAAAAATTCATGATTCTTCATATTGCTACACCCACTACTCTTCACAGAGTTTCAAATGGAGACATGCACGTTCAATTCGCAGGAAAACCTCTAATGGCGAGGGATACTGTCAAGACCTTGGGTTTGGTACTTGACAGTGGCTTCACTTTCTCGGACCACATCACTTATGTTTCCCAGGTAGGGAAACTTTGGGAAGGCTGCGTGGTCTGTACCGGTACAAAAACATCCTGCCAGAGACAGCTAAGCTGCAGCTGGTGCAGTCACTAGTGTTGTCAGTGCTCCATTACTGTTTTCCTGCATACGACAACAGCATCTCAAGGGAAGAGATATCCCGATTGCAAAAAGTGCAGAACTCCGCAATTCGTTTCGTTTATGGTATCCGTAAGCGTGAACACGTATCCTCATTCCGGGATGCTGTCAATGGGTGCCGTGAGCAGGGCGCAGACTTGTATTTGACTGAGAAATGTTAAGCTACATTCTGGAAACATGTGATTGAATTTTCAGGTTTCAGAAGGTTCGCTGCAAAGGGAGCGAACCCGGTTAACGGTTAATTTTCTACATTTTCAATAGTCGGGCGAGCCAGAAGGGCTCCCCGCTTGCTTCCTGACTTAGCCAACCATAGTTTGTACTTATATCCTACATAATTATAACTAATTGTAACTTATCCATATGCTGGACTGGACACCCTGAAAACCGGCTGTTTGCTCTTCGAAGGATCGTTGACCAAGACTGAGGACAAGAGTAGGAAGGTGGGGATAGAGCGTTGATGTAGTCGGGACAGGCTAGAAGTTGGCCATGCAGCCCGGCTTCGCGAAATGCACACACTATATATTATATATAGCGTGCCGCGATACGTTACACTATTTTAATTTATAAAGGGATTCTGCACACCTACACGAAAATATCTTTCTGGCGGTATGCATAGATTTTCCCTGGGGGAATAGTATTCCGCATCGCCTTTAAAACAATAGTTCTATATGAGCGGTGCCTTGGAAGATCATGTGGGTTTGAAGAATAGTTTAACCAGACATATTGATTAGTTTCTATTTTTTTCAGTATAAATTGATAATTCGATCAGTTTGTTTAGCAAATTTCCTATTCAAGAAATAAACTATTACCTCAACACTCTTTGATGTGCCCAAGGCATTGCAAAATCCCCTCAGGAAGCTAGACATAACATGGTAAAATAGTTACTTCATGAAACATTTAAATTTGCACCGTCGAAAATGTTTCCAATTACTTTTGCAAATGCAGGTAAGATATAAAGATTAGGCAATAATTCTCTGAAATTCCTTTGCAACCATATTCTTAAAAAGAGGTTTGGTTTCAGAAAATGTTTATTTGCAGGGGAAAATACTACTCTGTAGGTATTGTTTTATTATTTGTAGTCAAATAGTTTTATTGTTTTGTGTATTTGTACTGGGCAATAGTTTTAAATGTTCATTATGCATTGCAAACTTTTACTTTTCCAATAGGCAACTAAAATTACTTTTCAACTTTTGTTTTAAATCAGGACAGTAAAAGTATAACTAGTGGTAGTACGGAATATAAAGTAAATGCTTAAACTAAGTTGTTATAATCTATGGTTTCACTTTTTCCAATTGTTTTGTAATTTTTCTCATTACCATATGATTTCTCAACAAATAAATATAAAAGCACAACATTTCATTAACATCAAAACAAAAAATTAGAGTCAAGGTACAAATTCAAAGTATAGTTGTTCCACAAGATCCAAAATTATCAAGAAAGAGTTCAAAATTTAAGTTAGCATCGCCATTTTGGAGTTTTATCTTCAATTGATAGGTAAGTATTTTTTTTTCCCTACCCATGTATATATACTTATTTCTTTGACTCAATACAATAGTAGTTGGAATATAGTATGTTGCTATGATGACAGTAGACTTCCAAGATAAAAACTATTCAAATGCAAGCTAAACCACTAAGCCCCAATCAAAATAACAGCTAGTAAAGTTACACCAGCAACTTTCTTATAGTTCTCATAGCAGTGAGTGGTCTAGAAATGTCAAGTCCGCACAGGGTGCCTCGTAAGCCTTATGCATCTACCTCTTTGTAAGCTAAGTTCTTAAACTGTTTTAAGGAGGCTGTGTTACTTATAATACTGTAAAGGTCAATCTGTCTTTTAAATATTGATTATAACCAGTAGGCTAGAGCTAAAACTTGCCCAGTTTTTCCAAAAACGGAACATGTCAGGCTGAAAAGAATTAAATAGGTCCTGAATTAGGATTTCAACAGTTCGTAACTACTGTTTACCTGTTAAATAGATACTTCTATACAGGGAAATTCGCTAAAAACTAGGATGCAATCAGAATAAGACAGGTACTAAAGGCTTGCAAGCATCCACCTGCCGCAAAAGACAACCCTCCAAAAGAACTCCTATTTATTTACTCCCAATGGTATAGCAACTTTACAATAAGAAAATGAGTAGCCTAATTTCTCAATTTTCCCCGAGATGAAGGAGAACAAAAGTGTAAAGTCATGGTTATACTGTACCTACAACAAAATCAATAAGGTTTAATAACTTGGTGAAATGTATGGAATACTGATGTGCAACCAATGGCCGTTAAATGTATACGTAGCCACAGCGTAAATATTAAACTTCATTAAAGGTTGGTTGAAAAAATTAACATGTTTATGTGAAAGAAACTCGATTTTGTAATAGTTTTGTTCTTATAAAAACTTAATTATTTGATTTTCTTGTTGCAGTGTGATTCAAAATTCACATAATATTTACTTGACAAAATGGTAAGTTTACTTAAGTAGCCTATTAAAATACTTACATGTAGATGAATAATACGGGGTGTTTTTTTTACCCAACTTAAATAACTAGAGTACTACAAGACACTTTTTACGACAAAACAAAAAGTGCTTGAAATATACGTACATAATATACCATACCAATATTATTATGTAATATACCAATGTATTATAATGGTATTCCTGATTTTCTTATGTCCTTGCCGATCAGCTAGTATGCATTGTGGCATAGTTAGTTATCTATGAGGTTTTGTGATTTTAGGAGTTAATAAAACCCATTATGGAGTTTCGCAAGGCCTGAAGAGTAGGTATTATTGTGAATACTTTAACAGCGAAAAAGATTGATTTAGTGTCAAGAAAGGTTTGAATAAAGTTTCCAGTTAGTTGTGATCCCAGTACCTAATAAATCAACTCTTTATTGGCTTGTCAAAAAGTTTAGAAAATTGTATCTAAAAAAAACAAAACAAAAATAAAACGTAAACCTGAAACACTTATCATACCCTATTTTTGAGTTTTTGAAAAGGCAACCAGGGATGCCAACATTAAATAAGCTTGTCTTGTCATGAAGCAGGGCCTCACACTGCTTCTAAATAGAGGTCCGTTTGAAAAGAATACCCTAAATACCCTAAATAATAATATAAAAAAATAAATAAAATTTTAATTATGTTTCAAATTGGATGAAGACATTAATGGAAAAAAGGCCATTCCTCATAAGGCCCAGGACATTTTGGAAGAGCAACATTTTGGGGAGGCCACTATAAAGTTTTGGCTGAAATATGGGAATTGCTGTCAAACGAGTTTTTAAAGAGAAAGTTAGTTTTTTAACTCTGTGTTTTCCAATTGAAATCATCTTTGTATAGTGTATAGCCTAATATTATTCCATATTTTGTGTAAAACACCTGTTTTAGTATGATTAATATTGACTTGTAGCAGGACAGATCTAGCGAGTGGGTAGCTCCAGTAGAGGACACTTCAAACGTTGACAAAGTAAGTGGACTTTACACTATGTTCAATATCAAATCCTCCTCTTTTTCATTTTATTAACTGAATGAAATAGTAGTCCCCTATCATCTTAACATAGTAATACTCAAAGAAAAAGCCAGAAAATCTTCCAACCGTCATAAAGTTTTAAGTTTTGGGGATGGAAAATTGTTTAACGCGTACTAAGTACATTCAGACCAAAATTATGTTTATACTAGTGCAGTGTTATTGTTTTTTAACCATTGTAACAAGTCTAACAAATCAACATTTAATCATTGTAAATTTAAACTATTTTAATCTCATGCATGAAATTTCTAGTATAAAAGGCAAATACCACTGACCGAAAAATGATGACTATTATATCTCTCAAAATATACAACCTAAAATAGTTGTCAAATTTGCATAGGGGGTCCTTTGATAAAAATTTGAAATTTGAGGGCGGTTTAAGGGGGAAGCTATTTACAGTAAAATTAGACTTTTTATCTTAAATCTGATGGGAACTCGTTTAAAACCTACAAGTGCACAAGTACAAGTGCTTTAAGTACAAACTTGGTGACATTTGAGAAATTGTTGATCATGCTCTTACTTCCGAAATATGTACCTTAATAAAACCTGTAACCTCAAAAAACTGGAAATGTTCTATTCTAAGACTTAATTTTAACAAAAGCTGTTACAATTAGCCTAACTGTTGTAGAGCAAAAAGCTTTTTGTTAAAAGTTACAGGTGTACATTATTTCAAACCTGAGTACTCAACTTATTACGAAACGATTTGGACAAGATAAAATCATAAGAAAACTATCTATTTAATCTATAAAAATGCTAGTTTTTAAATAATAAAATCTAACCTTGTCACCTATTGTGTTTACAGCAAACAATGGCAATGGTGACTCAACCACAAACGGTAAGGATACGTTTTTCAAATACTTTACAACAAAAATGCAGTATGTATTAAGGATATTACTTGAATTATACATTTGACATTTAAAAATAAACTAGGTGAACCCCTGCGAATTCGCACAAATAACAAATTAGGATATCATAGCAACGTCGTTAGTAGTTGCGTTTATGCATTCTAAGTTCTTTTTGCTGTTCAGTCGGAGCATTTTGCACACGCATTTTGCAGGACGGGATGGAGCTCATCATGCTGAAAACTTGCGCGTATGGATTGATATCAACCAAATGTTGAGTCAAAATGTGCATGAGTTCAGTGCTGCAAGAGCTATTAGCTTTGTTTAGCACTCTTTCTTGAACATCGGTTTCGACGTCTTAGATATAAATTTAGGCATATGTCGGATGCTCCCCTTCTGACGGTTGAAAGGTGCCAATTGAGTAATTAATTGTGTCGTGCACCTTATACATGAAAGACCCTCCACCGTTATATTCTTCAATTTTAGCACGAGTGCTGACCATTGCGAGCGCAGAGTTGTACGATCTAAGGTTCTCTTTGTAGTTTCTGCTCAAATGATTTTCTCCATTTAGTAGGCTCTGAATATATTAGCTTTCTCGGTATGGTGGTAGATTCACTTTTCCTTTATGGCAGCAGGATGAAAATCCTTCGTCTCGTCCTCTTTGTTCTTCTTTAAAATGTAGCACACCACATTTCTGACATTTTAATGCCATCTTGCCAAGTGAATGCTGCTGAGTTCTTGTATTTGTCAGTGTTATTGAGCGTAGCTCTTTGGGATCAACCTCAATGCAACAAATAAAGCAACATCACTCAATAACGGCAGAACACATTTCAGCTAAACTTAACAAGATTACTTAGACTAATAGTGAGATGGTTAATAAACAAACAAATTTCAATTAGATAATGCTAATGCAATTTAAAACGAACTTAAAATTTCCAATTTTTAACATTAGGCTTATGGGACTAAAGTAGCCATATGACAGTTTTTTGTTTACAAGAAAAATGAAAAATGGTTTACAAAACCATGAACCTATTTGTGTTGCCAGCTGATTAGAAACAGCCAATGTTAGAAATCAGGATTTAATAAGCGATATATTGAACCGAATCGAAAACGATATTTAATCCGATAATACATCACAGGTTATATTATGTTGAATTACATCGACGGTGCAGTAAGTTATTACACTTATTAATAAAACGCAGATTGAACACTGATCTAATTTAGGCATGTGGGGAAGGTAGGTCGGGGTTTATGAGTATTCGTGACTACATTAAGTGTTTTGAAGTAAGGTTAGATTAGGAAGGTAAAGTGTAGGTTATAGGTAATTGATCAAGTTGTTTATTTGTGTTGCACCAAATTAACTGATAATATTTTCCTGGTCAAAACTACCATAATGTACTTTTGGAAGAGGTATCTGAATAACAAGATGTAGTAAAAACAAATCTGAATTATCATAATTTTAAACAATAAAACCAGCATTAGTACATCTATTGACTTTTTTACATTTAGTTACTTATACAAATATCAAATCACGTTTGTTCCGCTCAACTGGCTTTCACCTCTCTGAAAGCAACCCTAGTTTAGTAAGTACACGTTACCACTTTTGTTCCAGCTCATCGTCTGGGCTCCTTACACGTTTTGCATTGCTTGCCGTATTGACTCGCCGTGTCCAACTGGCAATATTTCTTCGTCGTCAGGGAAAATAAAATGTAAAATTTTTCCTCCACATTTCTTTGCCGGGTTTCTAATTATTTTTAAAAACATGCAAACTGTTTACATTTCAAAACCAAACAACACAGCTGGGATTTTTTTTTAACTAACTAGCTGTAACCCGCGGGCTTTGCCCAGTTTAACTTCTTAATTTTCAAGATTATCTCGTTCGCATGGCTCAATCACGTCCTGGTTGAAGTTTGTTCGCTACGCTCACTCACCTTTAGGTTGGAGCTCGTTCGCTGCGCTCACTTGCCTTCAGGTTAGCTCGTTCGCTATGCTAACTCGCCTCTAGGTTGAAGTTCGTTCGCTACGCTCACTCACCTTTTGGTTGCAAATTAGCTGTTGTCATAAATGTAAAAGAAATAATAGTGCTGCACCCTGTTGGTAATCCTTGTAACTTTAATGCTATTGAACATCATAGAACAGAACCAACTTGTTTAATTGAAACAGCTGTTAAGATTCAATAATTCCATTTCTCATAAGGTTAACATGGGAAACTCCAGAGCCACTGGGGCGGAGCCCGAAAGGATTTTTGAAATAAGAATATGCCTATATGTTAATCGGGAATGTGAGCTATCATCATGCCAAATTTCAGCCCAATCCGACCAGTATTTTTCGAGTTTACTTTTCCCATACAAACTCCAGAGCCACTGGGGCGGAGCCCGAAAGGATTTTTGAAATAAGAATATGCCTATATGTTAATCGGGAATGTGAGCTATCATCATGCTAAATTTCAGCCCAATCCGACCAGTATTTTTCGAGTTTACTTTTCCCATACACACATACACACATACAGCAACCACCTCTTTTTTATAATAGTATAGATAGATGTATTGACATCTGTTTTAGAAAATGATAACATTCAAATCAATCACAATGTTATCCTTATGGAAGGAACTTTGAGGGCTGCCCACGCCCTTAAAAAGATATATTTCAAAAATCTAAAGCCAGTTTGCACATCTACACACCCAGACGAACATTTTGGTATATAATATATGGGGTTAAATCTTAAAACAAAAAAGCCTTATTGTTCACAAAGTTTCATGTCGCGTATTAAATATATAGATAGATAGCTGTAGGCCTACATAATGTCAAAGATTTAAAAATGTGGTAAATATACCAATCAAAACAGCTGTTAAAAAAAATTAGTACAGTGGTTTCTTACGGTTTCTTATCGAAAATTTTGTAGACAGTTCTAAACAACTTTAAGTCAAAAGTGTGCTTTCACTTTGGATGAACGGGTGAACCCCCTTTATTTGCTAACTGCACTGTACTAAATATTTTTTAGATTTTGTCTTAAATCCTATTTTTGTAAAAAAGCTTTTTTGATTGTATAAATTATCCTAGTATATTTACCAAATTTTGATATCTTTGATATCAAGTAGTTGGGCGTCAGGTTTGGGTAAGGGGGTAGCAATACAAGTTGGAAACATTAGAATTTTTGTGTGTATTGAATATCTCATAAACTACGCATGCTAACGCAAAATACGTCATTTACGAAAATAATCTACACAAGAATAGTCTTCTCAATTATCTTGTTAAAGTGAGCAAGAAATAATATTATGTTCAGTACAGTAATTAGCATTGAGCATGTGCAATCTGGCTTATATACTTGAGATACATTGCTGCGGATGCACTGCTATGTTATATAAATATAGACATTTCAGATATAAAGGTTCTACTGTAAATTTAACTATACGTTTTCAGTCCCGAGGTTACCAAATGCCACTTAAGTCTGGTGTCTTATTGAAGAGAAGAATTGTAAGAGTTACTCTTCCTGGCGATGGAATGGGACCTTCCATTGAAGATGGGCATGGTCCATTCCTGGACCTAAAAAAGGGCAATTTGCCTAATCCAGAACAAATTCAAGGAATAATCAGAGGTCTAAAAGAAAAGATGTGGCTCATCCAGGAGGAATTACATGGTGGCCACATGTTGAAGGTAAGTTTTAAGATTTTTCAATATTGCTTAGCATAGGTATTAATCTGCTCTTATAAAATGTTGGTGACATGTTGTGGATTTTATAGTTTTTAGTTTTGGCACCTTTACAAAAATAAATTACAATTGAGCAGCATAATCTAAATTTTCTGTTACTAATCTCCAAATAAAAAAATTATAACGAATTTGTTTAACTATATTATGATCAATGGGTTTCATATTGATTTTGAATTTGAAAAAAATTGTTTCTTGTTTATAAACATTAAGGACAAACCAATTTGATATAGAAGAAAACTGGACAGTTTGATTATTAACTATAATGTCTGGAATACTCGTTAATTCATAATAACTAGAGGTTAAAATACCTTAATCCGTTAATGTCGTAGTCGAAAGCCATTAAAATGCCGTTACTGAGTGGAAACATCGATTGTAGGCTATCGTAGCCTAAGGCTTAAAAATTAAGTTTCTCAGTCCTAAGCATCACTGATTCACAGCCTTTTCTCCAGTTATCAAAACTTAAGTACAATTTGTTACACGCAGAATCTCCGGTTCCCGACTTGGATGATGCCTAATTATTTATTTTCATTAACAGTTACTTATTATTGTACTTGTTATTAATTAACTCCGTTATAAAAAGTCACAAGGTTATTAATTTCACTCAGTATGTTTATGGATTCGCTGACAAAACGTAATCAGAGATCGTTGCAGTGTTTTGTAAACAACATAACAGCTGTTCGATATTTTGTAGATGACGTATTCTCTGAACAGATAATAAGTAATTAATAAATGACGTAAGAAGTAAACATAAAAAGAAAAGTTGACAAAATAGGGTTTTTGAACGTCCACGTGAGTGGAATTTTTTTCCGAAGTAGTGAGGCCATATTTAAATAGCTAATGTCATTCTTGCCAATTCTGTGAATACAATTAAACTATTAAAATCATGATCGGTACTGTACTCCAGTTTTCTCGGAGTACCCTTGTAAATTATAATCCTAGCCGGTCAGACATAATGACAGACAGACAAACAGACTGACAGAAATTGAGGTAAGACCTTTTCCATCTTTTGGGGGGTATAATGACCAAAAGTTTATGATTCTAACCAATGTACCGGCGAAATTGTAATTTATTAGTTAACATTTTTGTTAATAACTAAACATGTACGTTAACAAATGAGGTATATAATAATTGAAAATTCATGTATTAAAATGAAACAATCTGTCATCAGAATTCTAGAGTATGCCTCACACTACTCCTATTTTGTATTAAAAAGGTTACTCTGAGGTTAAAGTCTGATTCTTAGTTTCTTCCCTTTCATGAACATAGTTTCTTCCCTTTCATGAACATTCATTTAGATTAGGATTTCACCAAATTATCAATTAACACATAGATTTTTACGAAACAAAAACAACAAATTTTTTTGTAGAACAATAATAATTAACAAACACATTTTTTTGTTTAAAGGCTTTGGGACCAGGGCAAACTAAGATGTCTCAAAATCAAGTAAGTATCAAGTAATTAAGTAGGATATCTCTTGTAACTATCCAAAAAAGTCTACGTAGCTAATAGATGATCAAGAATACATTATCTAAATCGCAACTAATAAATTGCACACAATTTTATGAATAGGACATAGATTCTCTACAAATTTATATTTTTGACAATTTTGCAAGTCAAAATTCAAAACAAAAAGTAATAAAGTATAAGTATATACTTATTACTTATACTTTATTACTTTTTGTTTTGAATTTTGACTTGCAAAATTGTCAAAAATATAAATTTGTAGAGAATCTATGTCCTATTCATAAAATTGTGTGCAATTTATTAGTTGAATAAATTCACAATTTTATGAATAGGACATAGATTCTCTACAAATTTATATTTTTGACAATTTTGCAAGTCAAAATTCAAAACAAAAAGTAATAAAGTATAAGTAATAAGTATAAGTATAAGAAATAAGTATCACGCGTAAGCATATTCTTATAATAATTATTTCTAGTTTAGTTAAAAATAATTGTTTTAAAGAGAGATTCTGTAACACTGCTTCACTGCATTCTGTTTCAAGTCAAGCCTAGCTGATTTATAAATACTAATTTGCTGCCCGTGCTTTGCAAGTTGATGAGAATGTAAAAGATAAGGCGGTCCTTTAATGCTACTGTAAAAACTGTTGAAACACACCCTAATTGATTATGATTATAGGAAGCAAATCTCAATTGTACCATACTGTTTATTTTTTATATATTTTCACCCCACGCTGTAAACAAAACATTGGAATTGCTTCTGTTTGCTTCGAGTTTCTGTTAATATTTCGTTCTTATTTCATCACTAGCATGTTAATGTTTTAACATTTTTAAATAAATGTTTGCCTTTATATTTTAGCGTGTTTTAATTTACTAAGGGATTCTGTACATCTACGGACGAATATATTCTTTTTTACAGTATACGTAGATTTTCTCTGCGATGCACACGAGCTGAGAAAAAAAGTTTCAAAGATACACGCTTGCCCCAATATTTAGATATCCACTAATTCAAATTGAATGTTAGTAATAAAGGTTATGAACATACTACTATGTAAAGAATATTTGATATATCAACACCCTTGTTGTTGAACTTAGTTCTAACTTTTGTTAGTACAAGCTAGAACTTGTTCAATTTATAACTTTTGTTTGTTCTAAGGTTAGAACAAACAAAAGTTAGAACTAAGATCATATATAAGTTTTTTGAACTATTTTGTTGCTAATTGTGGACAGCAATGCCAACTAATTGTTGTAGGACAGCCCTATAATGATCAAAAACAGAAATGGTGAAACAGTCAGATAGGAGACCCTCCCAAATGTAATATATCATAGTAAGAACTGATGTGTGAGATCGGATGTAGTTTAGAGGTGTTACCGTGGAGTTCAAAAAGGAAAAGTTTCCCATTAAACCCTTTGTGAGGCTATAAGTTGCAAGAAGGTTTTCAAGGAGTTTGTTCCATATGTGAAATAGAGTGAGTGGCTAAAAGTTTGTCAGGTAAGGACAATCATTATAGCCATACAGAGTGACTGGTTGATGTCTTTGTCCGTGTGTGTACAGAGCTAGAATCAAAATCAGTGGCTGATGTACTGAAATTTGATATCGTAAGCTCTTTATGTCTTAACTAATTTTATGAGTGGTTAAGAAAATATGTAAAACCATGTTAATACTTAGAATCTAACAATTATATATTATAGAAGCAACTCGGAGGATTCTGTAAACATGTGTGTTAAAATTTAAAGTCTAATGTGACAATATTCGTTCCACGATTTCAAAACATATGATCAAAGCTATTAGCATAGGATTCGGGCCAACAACGACATTTGTTTATGTTTATGATCCATACCGGTATGTTTCTAGTATTCTCGATTCGTTCTATATTTTATTGTTCTGTTTGAAATATGTAAAACACTGAACTGTCTAGGTTGAGCCGTGACTACATGCCACCGACGAGTGTCACGACTCATTTTTTGTTTCAAGATGTTTTTGTAAAGTATGTGTTTTAGAAATGTCGATGTTCTGTCACCGCCAGTGGACAGCTGTCCGCTATGCTTGGTGTCAACGAGACGATTTATAGGATACATGGCTGGTAATGAGGTAACATCGTTGTGATTGCCAACCTTGGTGAATCTTAATCAATGTGCTATACATTTTATTTTTATTTTGTCGTGTATTTCCGCAAGACAGATTTTTACTGGGGTCGTCAGAACATCAACATTTACAAAACACGTACTCTACAAAAACTTGAATCAAAAAATGAGTCGTGACACTCGTCGGTGGAATGTAGTCACGGCTCAACCTAGAGAGTTCAGTGTTTTACACATTTACTATAAGAAACTTGAAAGACTTGAAGAAAAAAATTAGTCATGACATTTAACATAGGTGGTACGTAGTCATTGATCTGAGTTAAGGCTAAGATAAAGAGTTTATTTTCGTATATTCTAAAACAAATAATCTTAACCTGGGTTTATTTGATCCAATATATCTGATTTTTAGACAAAACCTTTGGAAGGAGGGCAGACAGACGTTGGACATCCTATGATGGAGATCGACTGCGAATATGAGGTAATATACTGGTATATGAGAATCTCCCACAGTCGTGGACATAGACATTTTCTGTGTTCGTGTGGCCATTATCGTTGTTTTCCGCGATCGTCGCAATATTCTAATCGTCTTCCCCGGTTGTATGGACATCACTAGATATTGTCTACCTCGATCACGGCCTAATCCTGAATATCCCTGCAGTAACGGACAAATCATCGCCGTCCTCCACGATTACGACACAATCTCCCTCGGTCATTTAGACATCATCGGCCCCCTTGTTCACAGGAAATGTATGATAAGCACCCGCGGTATCAGGTGTGTCCCCCCGCGGTCGTGTTTACATTACTATCGTCTCCTGCGGTCACTTCAAACTCCTGATTATCTCTGCCGTAATGGAATAATCATCATCAATAATACTAAATTTAGAACGCTTAGAAAAAGACAAATTACTTCCTAAACTGCACTGCGATGACAAATAGGTTTGCAGACTTGTTTGTGCATATTATTCATTATATAGACCCTATATCGGGGTCGCCACATTTTTATCCCCCTGGAATTTTACCCCCGGGCAAATCTGACGTCACTAAGACGTAGTAACCTGAGCGCTCAAAAGTTTGTTCGCGGGCGGAATTTTACCCCCGCGGATTTGGAAGTATTATGAAAATAAACAGAGCGTGATTAATTAGATTAGCGATAAAAACCGAAATTTTACCCCCTGTCCATATAACTAGCGTTTAGACAACTGAAGATATACGGGACGGATTTTTATCCCCGGAATTTTACCTCCAGTTTTTTACCCCCCCAGGAATTTTACCCCCTGACGGATATATAAATTATTAAAAATGATTGATTTTCCTATTTCTGTTTTTATTTAATTGTAAACATTTTATTATTAATTAGCCAGAGTCACTGGCATGCTCATGCACTACAATAATATAATTGTAGTAGCCCGCAGCGAATGTGTTAATATTTTTTAGGCTACACCTATGTACTTTTTCGTCATATACGTAGTACCTCGTAACTTGAACAATTTGCATGTTCAGTGATGAAAAATTGAAAGTAAATACCAGGTAAATGGAATAGAAGGACTTTATGGGTTTCATACTATTAAGAATCTTTTACACTGTATTAACAAAGTAATTGTTTTTAGAGAATACATAGGATTTACAAGCTGACGTCTCAACTTCCTGAACAGTCTTCTATTATAGTTGAAGGGTCGATGAATGATAATGCTAAATGGTAAGATAAACTTTTCAGTATATTTATACACAAGTTCTATCATCAAATAAGCAATACTTAATTATTTGATCACTTTGTCCACAGGTGAAATATCATTATGGATTTTATAATATCATTATAAGATCAATTATAATTTTTAACAAATATAGTATAATTAACAAATTATTTGTTTTTAGACAAACCTGCATAAAAAATGAATTCAAACAAAATATCGTATACATTCTTTTCATTTGTAGTGGGCTTTAGTTAGTCTACATTCTGAAATTAACATTTTTAT